TCGATATTTCCCGATCGAGAAGTTTTAGTATGGACTACAAAAATAGTATGACAATACTTATTATATCACACTACTTGGTTAATATCAAATGTGGATTCGTTGAAATACATGATGGAATCCCCAACTTTATCTGAGATGATGGCTAGGTGGCAGATGTTGTTGTCTAAATTCGACATAGTTTATGTGAGCCAAAAGGAAGTGAAAGATAGTGACATTACAGACTTCTTGGAAAGTAAAGCATTTGAGGATTATAAACCAGTGAAATTTAAGTTCCCTAACGATGACTTATTGTGCATCTCCAACGTAAAATAAAAATAGGCCCCAATAGCTGAAGTATGGAAAATGAAATTTGATGGTGCCTCAAATGTTGTGAGGCATAGAATTGGGGCAATGTTGGTTTCACTAGAATGAGATCATTATCCTTTTACTAGTCGGTTAGCTTTTGAATGTACAAACAACATGGCCGAGTATGAAACATGTATAATGGGAATTCAAGCAGCAGTTGAGTGAAAAATTAAGATCCTAGAAGTATTTGGGGACTCAGTCTTAGTTATTTATCAGTTTTATAGAGAATGTATGACTAGAGATTCCAAATTTTTAGAATACAAGAATCTGGTCATGAATTTGATAAAATAATTTAAAGAAATTACTTTCACTTATCTCCCGCGTGAAGAAAATAAAATGATAGATGCCCTAACTACGTTTGCTTCAATGTTAAAAGTTAACGATCACGCTCGAATAATGTCGATATGAATTAGCATAAGAGAAGATCCAGCTCATTATTATAACATTGAGGAATATAAAGAAGATAGTCTCCTATGGTATTATGACACCTTTCAATATGTCAAATACCGAGCTTACTCGGCTGAAGCTACTGAAAAAGATAAAAGAACCTTGAGAAGATTAGTTGTGAGATATGAACTCGATGAGGAAGTCCTCTAAAAAAAGGAAAAGAAGAAATACTATTTAGATGCTTGGATAGAGCTTAGTCCAAGAAGATACTCAAGGAAGTCCATGAAGGAATATGTGGAACACATGCCAATGAGTTCACAATTGCCAAAAAAATCATGAGATTAAGCTATTACTGGTCTACAATGAAAGGGGATTATATCAGCTATGCCTGTAAATGTTGTAAGTGTCAGATCTATGGTGATAAAATTCATGTGCCTCCTTCATATTACATGTAATAACTGCACCTTGGCCTTACACAATGTGAGGCATGGATGTCATTGGATCAATCACACCAAAGGCTTCTAATGGGCATCACTTCATCCTTGTGGCCATTGATTACTGCACAAATAGGTCGAAGCTGCATACTATGCCAGTGTCACAAAGGGAGTAGTCTGTCGATTCTTGAAAAAAAGATCATTTACAGATATAGAACGCCCGAAAGAATTATTTTAGATAATGCTTTAAATTTGAACACTGACTAAATAGTAGAAATATACACAAAGTTCAAAATCAAATATCATAACTCTGCTCCTTATCGCCCAAAGATGAATAGGAAAATAGAGGCAACAAACAAGAACATCAAAAAGATTGTCACAAAGACTACTGAGACATATAAGGATTGGCATGAAAAGTTACCCTTTGCATTACTAGTTTATCGTACCTCTGTTCACACATCGACTAGGGCGACACCTTTTCTCACTAGTCTATAAGATGGAAGCAGTTTTACCAATCGAAGTAGAAATCCCTTCATTAAGAGTACTAATGGAGCTGAAATTAGAGGAAGCAGATTGGATACATAATAGGCTCGATCAATTGAACTTAATTGAGGAAAATAGGTTGAGAGTTATTTTTCATTGCCAGATGTATCAAAAGATAATGATGCGAGCATATAACAAGAAGGTTAGACCTCGAGAATTTCATGAGGGAGATTTGGTGTTGAAAAAGATTATCCTTATACAAAATGACTTTCGACAGAAGTGGATGTCAAATTGGGAAGACCCTTATGTCGTGAAAAAGGTCTTTTCTAGAGGAGCTATGATTTTTGACTGAAATTGATGGAGATGAGTTACCTAATCCTGTGAATTTTGATTCAATCAAGCGATACTACACATGAAGAAAAGAAAAGAAGTGAAAACAATGAAATAAAATTGAAAAAAGAAAAAAAAGAAAAGAAAAGAAAAAGAAAAAAAGAAAAGAATATGAAAAGATGAAAAATGGAAAAAGTAAAAAGTAAAAAAAAAGGAATAAAATAGGGGTTCAAGATGAAAACTCAAAAATACACGTCTTGAAACCAAATGAGGATTCGAGTTGAAAATTAATAAAAGATGGCTTAAATATTCAAGGTCAGGTTAATGAACAGTGGATTCCCGTAGAAGCCTGACAATTAAGGGAGATATTCTCATTCTCAAACATCTCTAGTACGATCTGAATCCTATAGACACATGTTAATCCTCGAAAGAGGTTACCGTTAAAGAGATTGAAGGATTCCTATACTTGATATCATGAGTATTTGGTTTTTGTTGTAATGTTTGCCTTCTCCTTGAATGAAAAGTGACTCAAAAGGATTGTCCCAATTGATTATATTTTATCTCTTATCTTCATAAGTATCATGCATATAAAAATATTGATTAATAACATTTTTTCTATACAAAAAAATTATTATGCTTTGCTTTGAGGAAAGTTTAGGGTATATGGATATCAAACCATGTGTTTTATGAATCCACCCCTTAGTAGTCCATTATTATAGATCAAGACATGAACCAAAGTGATTTCAATCAATTCATCAAAATGGAAATAATTAGGACATGAACTTGTCTTTAAAGCAAATTCTAATTGGGGATATACTTGTTTAGACTTCAAATCATTTTAATAACAGTTGATTTTTTACAAGGGACCTGGTTCTCCTATCAAATCAGATAAAGCGAATAAAAGGCAGCAGTGAGTAAATTGATTACCGCAGTTAACCACTAAATATTACATGGACATCATCACCAAGTAGTACAGGGACTTGGCTACCAGGGTTAAATATTATAGGGACCAAGGCCATCAAAGAAGATAATAGGGGAAACTCTATCTTCTATGACTAAAGATCATTCACCAAAAGCGGTAAAGTGATAGGATGCATATTAGACATATATTCTATGATATTTTCCTCATATTTGAATAACTAAAATTGCTTAAATCATGGATTTTGATTATATTTCGTATTTTATGGATTAGGTTAAAGATTTGGATAAAACAAGTTCAAAATCTAATGATTAGCATGATATTCACAAAATCCCCAAATTAAGGAGGAAAAATTAGAATTCAAGAAGTTGGCAAGACCATAAGAGGTTTTCGCATAAGGCGTGGGCATGACTTATTCATCCTGAGCTATCGCAGAAGAAGTATTCAGTTAAGGTGTGGGCGCGCCTTATCAGTCCGTACAACCCTAAATTAGGGTTATAAATTTACAAGGGAAAGAGTTTAATGACGGCTGGAAGACTCTTTTGAATTATTCTTATCTTTAGAAAAGGATGAGGGCATTTAAAACTCTTATTTTTGTGGGATTTTCTTCAAGGGAAACTTCCTTATCTAGAGTAGGAAAATCCTTATAAAATGGGAGCTAGGGCATTAGTTTTACATTAAGTTTTTATCAATCTTTCTTTAAGTTTTTCTTTTGGTGTTCTTTCAATTATGAGTGGCTAAATACTTTTGTTCCAACTGGAGGATAATTGAAGTTTTGGTTCTTCAAGGATTGTGAGATCTAAATAATTTTCATTGTTCTTTTACTTCTTTGCTATTTATATATCTTCTGTTTTATTAAGAATTATTGTCTTGATTGATTGTGCAAAGGGCCCGTTGTTCAATTATCAGGTTGATAAATTGCCATTTAGAACTTTAAATCCGTAATTGTTTAAACGTTCTAATATTAGTGGTAAAGTAACATGTTGATTATGATTATGTTATGAAGGTAGATAACCCAGTCTAAATGAATCGAGCTTGTGTATTCGTTAGTTGGAATTGGTGGTCCCTCTAGTGGTTAATGATGTTGGTGGATTAAATCTTAAGAGCTTGTGTAGGGTTGTTCATTAACAAGGGAAATAATCAAAGAGCTTCTCTTGATTATCAAGAAACTAAGGAGAGACAGGTTGTTAGAGCTTCTCAATAACCATAACCAATTTAGTGAAAAGTACAAGATTTTATCATTGCATCTATGATTAATTCTCTGAACCAATTCTGAAATTATACCTTTAGTTGGATATTTTCTTGATATTGATTTCTCTAAATTCTTAGTTTATTATAATTGCTTTTTCTTTTTCTTTTTCTCAATTTCAAAACCTCTTTTATTTACTTTAATTTTCATTAAAATAAGTCTACCCAATCCCTGTGGATTCGACCTTGCTTATCACTACTACAATTTTATATTTCTAAAAGCAAGTATTATTATTTGTTGGATTTGATACCCACCAAATTTTTGGCACCGTTGCCGGGGATTGGTGTCATTTAGACGTATTTTGATGCCTTGTTCTTCTCGTGCAGGTGAACTCCAATACGATCATGAGATCGAGAAGACCGCTCGCAGGTTAAGAAAAGAAACTAACTTGCGTAACAGACAAGCTTCTTATTCTTCATCCCCTGAATCGAAATCTGTAGTCAACTTGGTTGATTCATCCAGCGATTCTGAAAAAGAATGAACAATGGCCAACAAATAAAGAACTCTAAGAGAATTGGCTGCACCAAATGTGAATCAACAACCGCTCTGTATTGACTACCCAGCTTTGGAGGTAGTTTTTGAACTAAAATCTGGTTTGATTCACTTGTTGCCTACTTTCCATGGACTTGATAATGAAGACCCTCATAACAATTTGAAGGAATTCCATGTGGTATGTTCAAGTATGAGACCACAAGGAGTGACTGAAGAGCATATCAAATTACGTGTTTTTCCGTTCTCGCTAACCGATAGAGCTAAAGATTGGCTCTTCTATTTACTCACTGATTCTGTAACTACTTGGACCGAGATGGTGATGATGTTCCTTGATAAATTTTTCCATGCTTCAAGAGCCGTTGGCATTCGAAGGGAGATATATGGAATAAAACAAAAAGATGTTGAGACCCTTCATGAGTATTGGGAAAGATTCAAATAATTGTGTGCAAGCTGCCCTCAACATGGGATTTCTGAGCAACTTCTCATCCAATATTTCTATGAAGGACTACTACCCATGGAGAGGAAGATGATGGATTCAGCCAGTGGAGGTGCCATAATGAATAAGACTCCTCACGATGCTAGGGAATTGATCTCCATCATGGTCGCCAATTCACAACAATTTGGTTTTAGGCAAGACACATCTCCAAGAAGAGTGAATGAGGTAGGTTCATCTTCCATTGAACATCATTTATCACATCTCACCTCCCTTGTTCAGCAACTAGTTATAGGAAAAATGCAGCAAGTGAAAGCTTGTGGGATATGTGCTGCAATTGGTCACCCAACTGACAAGTGCCCTACACTTCAAGATGATTCTCATGAGTACGCCAATGCAGTTGGAAGGTTTCCCGATCCTCCACAAAGGAAATATGATCCTTACTTAAATACCTGTAATCCAGGATGGAGGGATCATCCTAACCTTATCTATGGACCAAGACCATCACAATTTCAGTGTTTTCCACTTGAGCAGTCTTCTTCAAAGCTAGGTATGTCTCTAGAGGAAATTGTCAAATCACTTGCTACTAATACACAAAAATTTCAGCAAGAGATAAGAACAAGCATACAAAATTTGGAGAATCAAATGAGTCAATTGGCATCCTCCAGAAATCGATTAGAATCCCAAGGTAAGCTACATTCACAAACCATTGTTAATCCAAAGAAAAATGTTAGTGCAATCACATTGAGAAGTGAAAAGGAAGTTGTTGGTCCTCAGACTCAGAAAGACCAACCTAAAGGACTCAAAAGCAAAAAACTAAAGGAATTTGTCATAGATCCTCCTTTTCTCTCTAGATTCGCTAAGTCTAGAAAAGAAGCAGAAGAAAAAGAAATTCTTGAGACATTTTGCAAGATTGAGGTAAATATTCCTTTACTTGATGCAATTAAACAAGTACCTCGATATGCTAAAGTTCTTAAAGAATTGTGCACCAAGAAGAGAAAGCTCAAGGGTAATGAAAAGGTAAGTATGGGGGAGAATGTTTCAGTTGTCCTCCAGAAAAACTACCCCCCATGTGCAAAGATCCATGTATGTTTACTATCCCTTGTAAACTCGGTAATGTTAGGATTAAAAGAGAAATGTTAGATCTAGGAGCCTCAATAAATATCATGCCTCTTTATGTTTACTCATCTCTGAATGTTGGTCCTTTGAAAGAAACATGAGTGATTCGTCAACTTGCTGATAGATCTAATGTATATCCTAAGGGAGTTTTAGAGGATGTTCTGGTGCAAGTTAATGAATTGGTTTTTCCTGCAAATTTTTATGTGCTTGATATGCAAGAAGATAATTCTTCTAATTCAACATCAATTTTTTTAAGAAGGTCATTTTTGAAAACAGCTAGGACAAAAATTGATGTAGATGATGGTACACTTACCATGGAATTTGATGGTGAAATTATTAAATTCAATATTTATGATGCCATGAGATGTCCTAGTGATGTGTCCTTTGTTTTTTTCATGGATGTTATTGACCCTTTAGCATAGGAAACTTTTGATCAAAATAAAGAAGACAAGTTGAAAGATACACCTAAAATGAATTTCACTTCTGAATGATTGCAGGGAATCATGAAAAAGTTTGTGTTGGATCTTGATTTGCAAGATACAAGCCAAGAACTAGAATCACTCAAACCCATGAGGTATGGTGTATCTTATATTGAGTCACCTCTTTCTCACACTAAGCTTCTTCCTTCTCTTGTGCAGGGACCAAAATTAGAAATGAAGCCTTTTCCAAATCATCTGAAGCATGTATATTTAGGAGAAGAAGAAACTATTCTGGTAATCATTCCCAACAAACTCTCTCACTTAGAAGAATAAAAGTTGATTCGAATGCTTAGAGAGTACAAGGAAGCTATTGGGTGGAGGAAAAATTTCTCTATCGATGAAATACAAAGTTTGGATACGGGTCAAATATTTAAGGTTGATAATCATCGTTTCAAACCTTTTTATGAAGGTTCTCTGATGCATACTATTGGTCAAACCATTTTTGGAGTACCCAACTTAGGATGATTAAGAAGCTACGACGTCTAGCAAAAGACATTAAAGAAAGGCGCTCTTGGGAGGCCACCCAATTTTTCCTTTTTCAATTTCTATTTTCGCTCTTTTTGTTTTTTTTTTCCTTGATTTTTCGGAGTACAATTAATCTTGTTTTCCTCTTTAGGTCAGGAGATAATTTTTGTAACCCGTGGGCACGCCTTACAAAAGCATAATTATTCCTAAAGTCTCTCACTATCCAGAAGATGTTTTGGTATAAGATGTGCCCACGTCTAAACTCAATGTCACTTCTGGTTCAGGAAACAAGATTCAAAGAAACTTTATAAATGTGACTTATCCTTTCTTTATTTTCTGTACTCCTTTAAAAAATGCGTGCCACCAATCGTCCTCTCCGCTCCACCCGACCCACGTCTCCGCCTAAGTCCGAGAATCAACCTAGTCGACCACATCACCTTCACCCCCCAGCTCGTGACATATATTGCGGTTGATGCTCAATATTTTCAGGGGAGTTTTCTACTCTTATTCTTTTATGGTTTTTTAGCATCTACTTTTGATACATTGAGGACAATGTATGAATTAAGTGTGGGGGAGAGTATTTCATACATGGTTTTGCTTTGAACATAATTTTGCTTCAATTTTTTTAAAAAAAAAACAAGTATGCTTTAGTTCTTTTTGTGATTTAACTCTTCGAAATTCCATATTCTTTCGATGTTTATTCTTACATGATTTGGATTGTTGTGAATTATCGAATTAAGTTGAAGCATAATAGGGGATTAGCTTGAGTAGTGGAATTCTTATTTGCTGCATACTGGTTGATTACTCTTGATAACTGATTGAATGAAAAATGTATGGGATTTAATACATGTTTTCCCTTTTGAGATTTTTTGGGCCAATGAGCACTCATTTTCAGCATGCTCTATTTCTTGATTAAGTGATTTCCATACATAGTTAATTTTCTAGAACTTGCTTTGCTATACATGTTGAAGACCATATTTTAGAATTGGATGCATCAAGAACGATAATGGCATTTAGGTGAAACCACTTTTAGCTTTCATAAAGAGCCTACCCTGATTATTATCCTTAGAAATCCAATTTTGAGTCTGAGCCTTATTGTTTGAAATTAAACATTGTACAAGCAAATATCAAATCCTTTTTGTTAATTTCCCCTCTTTTGAACCTTGAATTAGAGGATTATATGAGCTTCTTCACATGAGAATTCAAATTATCTTGAGAAGATCGGAAGATGTTGGAATACAGTGATTCGAGTTGCAATCTCATTCATAAAAAAACCAAAAAGAAAAGAGAAAAAAAAAGAAAAAAAAATCGTGCAAAGGAAATAAAGAAAAAGAGATTGTGCAAAAGAAAAGAAAAAAATGTTATGTGACTTGAAGAGAACATTTGAGATTGAGTTCCATGTGGATAAGTTTGTATGACTCCTTCAATAAAACAACTCAAATTCATTTCCTACCAAACCTCACCTAAGTCCCATTACACCCTGTTTAAGACCCTGAGGTTTTTATGCATTCAATCCATTGATTAGTGGTGGGGATATAATAGGTTAGCAAGCCTATGGTAAAAATTTTATATGTTTTGGCTTGAGAGTTTATTGACACCCTAAACACTTCGAGCGTATTGAGTGAATCCAATGTGAGGGTATTAGATCCCACTCTATTTTGATTTCGAAAAGATTGATGGAGTGATTATTCATGTGTGTTGGTTTATGAGAATTTCTTCTACGAATTGCTCGTTCCTTACTTGTATCTAGATTTGAGTTTTTAAAGCACGACAATTTTGATTATGGAATGATGAGCAAATGAAGAAGAAGGATTGATGTTGAGAAGAGTTATGAATTTGAACTATTGTATGCTTGAGGACAAGCATTGGTTTAAGTGTGGGGGAATTTGATAGGATCCATATTAGACATATATTCTATGATATTTTCCTCATATTTGGTTAACTAAAATTGCTTAAATCATAGATTTTGATTATATTTCGTATTTTGTGGATTAGGTTGAAGATTTGGATAAAACAAGTTCAAAATCTAATGACTAGCATGATCTTCACAAAATCCCCAAATTAAGGGGGGAAATCGGAATTCAAGAAGTTGGCAAGACCATAAGAGGTTTTCGTATAAGGCGTGGGCACGACTTATTCATCTTGAGCTATCACAGAAGAAGTCTTCAGTTAAGGCGTGGGCGCGCCTTATCAGTCCGTACAACCCTAAATTAAGGTTACGAATTTACAAGGGAAAAGAGTTTAATGACGGCTGGAAGACTCTATTGAATTATACTTATCTTTAGAAAAGGATGAGGGCATTTAAAACTCTTATTTTTGTGGGATTTTCTTCAAGGGAAACTTCCTTATCTAGAGTAGGAAAATCCTTATAAAAGGGGATCTAGGGAATTAGTTTTACATCAAGTTTTCTTTAAGTTTTTCTTTTGGTGTTCTTTCAATTATGAGTGGTTAAATACTTTTGTTCCAACTGGAGGATAATTGAAGTTTTGGTTCCTCAAGGATTGTGAGATCTAAATAGTTTTCATTATTCTTTTACTTATTTGCTATTTATATATCTTATGTTTTATTAAGAATTATTGTCTTGATTGATTGTGCAAAGGGCCCGTTGTTCAATTATCAGGTTGATAAATTGCCATATAGAACTTTAAATCCGTAATTGTTTAAACGTTCTAATATTAGTTGTAAAGTAACATAGTTGATTATGATTATGTTATGAAGGTATATAACCTAGTATAAATGAATCGAGCTTGTGTATTCGTTGGCTAGAATTGATGGCCCCTCTAGTGGCTAATGCTGTTGGTGGATTAAATCTTAAGAGCTTGTCTAGGGTTGTTCATTAACAAGGGAAATAATCAAAGAGCGTCTCTTGATTATCAAGAAACTAAGGAGAGATAGGTTGTTAGAGCTTCTCAATAACCATAACCAATTTAGTCAAAAGTACAAGATTTTATCATTGCATATATGATCAATTC